TGGGGTATATAAGCTGTAAGGGAAAGAATAAAGATACATAGAAGGAAAACATCAAGAAAGAGATAGAAAGAGAACATCTGGGAAAAGAAGGAAAACAACAGGGTAGGAGAGAGAGAGAACAGAGTAGGAGCAACAGAAAGAGAAAAAGAACATGAACAGTTAAGCTTTGGCCCTCAGGAAAGTCCCCGTGTGTCTGTGCGTCTGTCCAGTAGTTCCCCTGCTCTGTCTCTTCTCACAGTGTTTCTGACCTGCTGAAGGCCGACCTTTCAGCAGCAGTCTAGACTGACCTTGAACTCTCCAACCTGAATACTGGGATTACAATCCAGTCCCAGCAGATCCAGCAATTCAATTATTAAAGGTTATTTCTTTTCTCTTCCTATACATCTTTCAGATAGCATAATTTCATGGCTGTTAATTATTCTCCACACTGGTTTTTGTGAAAAGAATTCTAAAGTGAAGCATCAGTGTTTCCTTAAACTCTGAAAGTCTTGTTTATTCCAATTATTTATTTAGCTATCCCATGGAGAATGTGGTGTGCAAAGCAATATTGGCCAGCAAGGGGCAGTAAGTAGCAAGGTTACTTCTGGGTTTTGTATTTGTTTTGTCAATTTCAACCAAACCCAAGTCAATACTAGTTAACACTCACCTAACCCTTGTTAACTGTGAGGCCATGGCCTAAATTCTTTTGTTTACTAAGTAAGTCACTTATCTCTGCAAAAACCTCTGTACAGAAGGTACTTTTATCCTGTCATGGGTGCAGACATGCAGGCTGTAGTTAGCAATGACTGAAGCAGATTCCACCACTCCTGGGTGCTGCTGCCCAGACTGCCCACCCTGCAACACTCCAGATAGAATAGTTATATCTATTATATAGATATAATAGATAATATAATAGGGTGCTCTAAATATAATAATAATAACCCCTTCCAGATACACCCTGTGTTACAATAAAAGGTATTATGAAACAATAATGTTAGCTTTCAGTCACTTAATGATGATGATAGCAAGGCCAGATGTCTTCCAAATGCCATCTTTTAATCCAGTTGTCTTTCAGGTTTTTTTGATTGTGTCATAAATTTTTTGAGCATGCACAAATACAATTCTCTCTATATTAACCTATGTGACTGTACATTAAAAACATAATAAATAGCATTATGTCACATTGTATGGATACTGTTACTTGTCAATTTATTAGCACATGATAAAATACATTATACAGTAACCACAAAATATACACTTAAAAACAAATGAACCCCTCCATCCACCCAGGTTAAGAAGGAGGCACCATGGCGATGTCCCCACCGCGGCAGGTCACTCACCTCATCTTTGACATGGATGGACTACTTCTGGACACGGAGAGGCTGTACTCAGTGGTGTTTCAGGAGCTGTGTGGTCGCTACAAGAAGACATATAGCTGGGAAGTCAAGTCCCTGGTGATGGGGAAGAAGGCTCCAGAAGCTGCGCAGATCATCATCGACGTCCTGCAGCTGCCCATGTCCAAGGAGGAGCTGGTGGAGGAGAGCCAGGCAAAGCTGGCAGACCTTTTCCCCACCGCTGCCCTCATGCCAGGTGCTGAGAGATTGATCCGGCACCTCCGAAAGCACAGCATCCCCTTCGCCCTGGCCACCAGCTCAGGCTCCGTGACCTTCAAAATGAAGACCAGCAGGCACAAGGAGTTCTTTGGGATGTTCAACCACATCGTGCTAGGAGATGATCCCGAGGTCCACAGCGGGAAGCCATCCCCGGACATATTCCTCTCCTGTGCACAGAGGTTCAATCCTGCTCCTGCCCCAGACATGTGCCTCGTCTTTGAAGATGCTCCCAATGGAGTGGAGGCAGCTCTGGCAGCTGGGATGCAGGTTGTCATGGTTCCCGATGAAAACCTGAATCGAGACTTAACAAGAAAGGCCACAGTGGTGCTGAGTTCCCTGGAGGACTTCCAGCCTGAGCTGTTTGGTCTGCCTGCCTATGAGTGACAGGTGGCAGCCTTGGTGCTGCCATGGGCCTTGTGGCATCCTGGGAGGGGGGGCACATGGCATACTGGGGGAGCCACATGGCACCCTTGGGGGGCCACATAGCTCCTGGGGGACACATGGCATCCTGGGAGTGCCACATTCAGGGTCCATGCTATTGAGGAGAAAGGGGAAGGCAATGCATAGCACCAGATTAAGCCTGCTTATACACTGTAGCCTGTGAACATGGCCATCCCCGTCTGTGTGGGCTTGGCCATCTCTCTGGATTGTAGTCGGGTCAGTAGACAGCAAACAGATGGCCCAGAACATAGCTTGAGTACAGTCATGTAATAAAGTGATGTGGTCTATGAAGAAAATGAACATATGCGCGCACACGCGCGCGCGCGCGCACACACACACACAAACAAACACAAACCACAGCATTGTGTGACTACACATGTGCCAATATATATAAGTATATATGTAAATGTATAATGTTCCAGAGTAAAATCATATTTATGTTTGTTTCCTTGTAATCTTTGTGAATAATGGCATTTGGGAAATGTAAACTCCATACACATATATGTATATGCCATTATAGATGTACATATATATGTGTAGATTGTGTGTGTATGTAATAGGTCATGTGTATGATAGACCACTCCACTGCCTTCAGGGTGGACATTAATGTTGCAATACCAACTGATAAGTGAGTCTCCTCTCTCCCTCTTCTGACCTTAATGGCAGATTAGCCTCGTGATGGATGAGCATCAAGAAATATCCTTTCACTCCAGCCTCACTATCATCGCAGACACCTCCCTGGCCTTGGACTGAGAAGTCTAAACGTCCTCCTTTTCACAAGCTGGGCCTAAGTTTCCGTTTTCTAAACAAAGGGCTATTAATCAAAAGGCCACTGACAGCAGGGACGAGGGAGAGAGCACGAACAAGATCTGGGTCAGCCTCTCAGTGTCTCAAGGACGGTTCCTGCAACCACCTTGAAACTTACCCAAGTATGTCCAAAGAGAAAAACCTTAGCCAGTTAAAAGTATACTACTGTAACTTCTGCTTGCTTAACCAATTATGTTTGAGATGACCTAACCATCCCTGAAATTCCCCTGGCTATGCTTAAAGGACCCTGAACGTGCCTCTTGTGGTCATCGCCATTTTGTGCAGATGAACGCCCCCTGTATGCTAATATGGTAATAAACACTCTTTGTTCTTGCATCCTGTTTGAGTGGGTCTTCCTTCAGCCTTTTCTCAGCAGGACTCCATGCCTGACAAAACTCGTCTCTAGGAGATCCCTCTAACTTGGGATTCATCTGCATATCTTTTACCTACTCCCTTATCCATGTTGGAGTGTTTTCTGCCCTAAGGGAAAAAAATAGAATTTGATTTTGCTTGATGTAGCAAGTTTATTTCAACATTCCTGATTACACGTCTAGTCTGCTCTTCATTCCTCTTCCAAACAGTTCTGATGTCTCACAAGCGCCCTCACAAGCAACGATTTGGTTGTGTAATATTTTAATGGAGTCATGATTTTGCCTTTAAATAAAATATCGCCAACCATCATAAAGTAAGTAAGGGAACTATTTTCACTTTCATATAAATCGTAATATTTACCCATTGGCCAGTGTCAAGGTTAAATACATAGAGTAGAGAATGGAGAGTCACACTGCAGGTAATTGCAGAGCATGAAAAAGTTCCATGTTTATCTGTCCTTGTCATTATTACAAAGTCATCACTAAATGCTGTACACCAGAGTGTGCTACAGGAGCTTGTACTAGAAGCCTGGAAAATGACCTTTTTCTTCACTTGTACTTAAACTTTAGTAAGAGCTCTGATCTGATTCTTTGTAGAAGTCTTTTAAATCATGTTTCCATTTTGTGAAAATCAGTTAATTATATGTAAATTTGAGAGACAGGGCCTCTGTCGGCCCAGATGGACCTAAGGTGCAAAAGCCAACCCGAGACAGTCGCTCTGGAGTTCTTTGTCTCAGTTCAGTGAGGAATGAAATCAGGGACAGAGAAGAGCGCAAAGCAAAGGCAGATTATTAAGAAAATCTGAGAGAACTGAGTGGGAGGGTCCCAAGGGAAGACAAAATGGATGCACTGTCTGCGTAGGGCCTTTTCATAGGACTTACGGCGGAAACCAGACAGACTGAGGTCGTTTCTGTTGAGATAGTTTAATTCTGTAGACATTGTGGCCAACCAGTGGAGCACACACACACTCTGGACATGACCCTCCGGCCCAACCCAAGGGTGTCACCCGCTGCTTGCCCGGTTGCAGGAGTCACACACTGAAGCTCCACTCTGTCCACCTTTAATTTATTGGTTAGCTGCTGACCTTGGCTCGCTTGCGGGCGATGCCAACCTTAGCAGGTGTGGCTGGTCTCTGACCTTGGCAGGAGTCTTGCTGCTCTTTGGCCTCGATGTTTAGGAGGCTGGTTTGTAATTTAACTGCCGGCCTCCTTTCCTTTCCTGCCTCCGGAGAGCTACCTGCTGCTTAGAATACCTTTAGCCAAGCACAGGCAAATGACCAAGTCCCAAGACAGAAGAGGTGAATGAGTGAGGGCCAACTTCACTATCAACCCTTCCCAGGACAGCTCCCCTTCCCCTGGAGTGCTTCACGCCTCCTATGCAGCAGAGATCGCTGACTGAGGACTGAATATGCAAAATTCCCAAATGATTATGTAAGTTTCTTTACTAATAAAGACAAACTATAGAGAAGACTCTTTCCGCTATTTCCATTTAAATAAGTGGAAATTGAATTTTACTGATTCTCATACTTTAACAGGCCAGCTTGCTCTTTCACTTTGCATACTGTTGCTATGATCAGTTTTTGGTTTTGTTTTAGAAACAGGGTTCTTCTCTGTAGTCCTGGAACTCTCTGTAGTCCAGGCTGCCCTTAAACTAGGAGATTTAATTTTAATTTGTATTTGTGTGTGTGTGTGTGTGTGTGTGTGTGTGTGTGTGTGTGTGTGTGTGTATGTCCATGTACACATGAATATGCGTGCCTTTGGAGGCCAAAAGAAGGCATCAGATGCCCTGGAGCTAAAGTTGCAGGTGGTTGTGAGCACCCTACAAGGATATCGGGAACTCAATTGGGGTCCTCTGCAAAAGCAGTAAGTGCTTTTAACCATCAAGCCATCTCTCCAGCCCCAAGACCCTGTCTTTAAAAACAAACAAAAACAAGTGGAGTGTTTTAGGTCAGGATGTGACCTGAGTTCTAGTTCATCTGAGTGATTCTGAATACGGATGGGGAATTCAGTAGTTCAGAGACAGAGAAGCTACTGTGAAATGTACAGAACTTTGTTTTTGTGGTGCAGAGGATTGAATTCAGAGCTAGGAAAGTGCTCTACCATCAACCTGCACCCATGGCCCAAGTTTTGTCAGCTTGAGATGGTACCTTGGACTGGGGTAGAGGGAGTGAGGGTACAGAGAAAAAGGGCTGATGTGGAATGCTTTCACATGGTTAAGCAGACCGGACCTGCTGGGCGACTTGCCAGGAGGCCATGCTGGGTCCACTCTCACTGAAGTCATTCTTGATTTTTCTTCTGGAGAAGGAAGTGATGATTGGTGACCAAAGGGATCTGGTTTTCCTCCAGTCATTTGAACTGGAGTCTAAGTGACTCAGCCTCAACTTTGAGTTGGTGGAGGAGACATGTGGATGAAGAGATAAAGATGAACCTGCAGCAAAGAATCGGAACGTAGATGGCAACCAAATCAGAGAAGGGAGATACAGAAGACATGAGCACATTCCAGTGCTGCCCAATGGTCATTGAAACCAAGCAGGTTCCTCTCTCTAGTTCAAAGAGTTTAACCCTCAAGCAACACTGTTCATGAAATATGGGGCATAAATATATTATTCCTTGAGACAGAGTCTTGCTATATAATTCAGCCTCAAACTTGCTGTGTAGCCCAGGCTAGCCTTGAATTTGCAGTCCTCCTGCCTCAGCTTCCCAGATGCTGGGATTACAGGTGTGGGCAACCACACCAACCAGTTCTTCCTAAATGTATGTGGTTTGGGAAAGCAATACATTTAATCTCACATCAGTAATTTAGGGTGTGCCTTAAAGACCTCTACCTCCCACAGTAAAATGCACTGGTGGGCGGGCCTGCATTATTTCAAATAATTAGACATGTCACGCACCTGTAATCTCAGCACCAATCAGAGATTGAAGCAAAAGGATTATGAGTTCAAGGACAAGCTGGGCTACACAGTGAAGCCCAATCTCAAATAACAATAAAAATAAGATGGCTGGAGAGACGGCTCAGCAGCTAAAAAGCACTTGCTGCTCTTCCAGAGGAATTTTCAATTCCCAGCACTGGTGTAGGATGGCTCATAACTACCTGTAGCTTCAGCTCCCAGAGATCTGACACCCTCTTCTGGCCTCCTTGGAAACTCAATTGCATGGAGCATATACTCACACAGAAATACACATACAGACACACATAGAGAGACACACATACACACAAATAAAATCTTTCAAAAGCACTAAGTGTCTGGTCTGGGAGATCACTCAGTTGGTAGAGTGCTTGTGCTCAAACATGAGAACCTGGGTTTTTAATACCCAGCACTCATGCTAAAAATCTAAAAAAAAAAAAAAAAAAAATCCAAGCTAGCAGGCACGCACTTATAAATCTCAGCACTGGGGTAGCAGAGACAGATGGATCCCTGGAGCTGGCTGACCAGCCAGCAAGCCCCTGGTTCCAGTGACTGTGTCTCAGAAAACAAGATGTACAGCTCCTAGAGAATGACACCCATGAATGACTTCTGGCCTCCATATGCACACACACACACACACACACACACACACACACACACACACAAAAGCACCCTCCTACACAGAGACACATCCCTGACACCTCCCCACTCCACATACAAAAATCAGTGTAAACGTATATTAATGATGTGGAGAATAGAAAAATTGTCAGCAATTCTGTAATGTCCCAGGTTACACGGTGTGAGATAAGCATGGACCACAAGGATATGGAGTAAGAAGAGTTGAGAGGGAATTCCATTTGCTGCCTAAAAGCCAGAATGAGCACTCTCTGACCCACCATGACCAGCTAGTGTCCACTCTGCCATTCCCTAGTTCCTCCTGCCTCTCCCCGTCAGCCAGCAGCAACTTCCCCACGGCTGCCTACTCTGATTCTGCTGACTTCGGGATGGGACGGGACGGAAAAGGGCCCAGGATGGGGGTGGGTTAGGAATCATGGGAGGGAATATGAAAGTGGGTGTGGAGAATGGTGAGTGGTTCCACTTCTACAAAGCACACAATACCTACTAGAGAAAGAGAGGCAGGCCTGGAAGGATATTAGCATGGTTTATGGGAGGACCTTACATTTTGCACTAAAAACTAAGAAGACTCTTCAGGGATCACAGGAGAGTCATTGCTTGTTTGCAAACAGACAGTGTCCCTTGTGTGCCTTTGGAACATCATTCTTGGTGCTGTGTTCAAGATGGCCTGTGAGAGGATAGGCTGGGGAGATGGTAGCAGCCAAGGTCAGGCAAGCCTGAGCCTGAGTGGCAGTTATAAGATGGGCTGAAGCAGAGAAGACATGTTACTCAACATTGATTTTATCATATCCCACCTTTCTGTAAAGACCTGTGGAAGCATCTTTGGTTTATTGCTTTACCAAATGTGGGCTCTTGTGCAAGCCCATTATTATCTGATTCTATTCTGTCTGCCCAGCTGATTTCCCAGTAGATGGTAAACTCTTTGGAGTCAGGGACCACACCTTAGGTGTCTTCAGCCCTTACCACAGCATAGATGAATACTAAATAGTTGCTGATTAATTGACTCAGAGTCAAAAAGCTCTGAGACCTGGTTCTGGCTCCCGAATCCTTTTTCTCTCTGACCTTTCCAATTTCCCTAGACTTAAGGAGAAACAATTGTCCTTAAGTTCTTAGCTAAGATTTAAAGCTTCATACTAATACTTCTAAGCAAACTTTATCAAACACAGTGGTACTATTGTTACAACTTCTAGCTTGTGGTTTTGCACATAGCAGGAAGTGAATCAGAGTATAGGTGATGTCTTGACATGGGGTTGGGGGAGGAATATATTGAAATTATAGTAGGGGGAGGCAAGGTCATTTTATGTATAAAAGAGTTTCCTGAATAAACCTGGTGACCTAAGTTTAATAACCAGAACCCACAGTGAGAGAAAAGGACCTGAAAATTGTCTTTTAACCTTCACCACACAGATGCCATCGAGTGCACACTCCCCCACCCCACCCCCACCGCTCTCACACACATATCAATGAGATTTCATAGTTAAAATTCTAGCAGGCTGAAGTTTGTCAGGATGTTTGATAAGCAATCTATACTCTTGTTTTAAGAGTGATTCTGACAGTTCTGATCTGTACTTAGTAAGCAGATCCTTGGGTGTCTCCATAACCATGTACTTTGGGAAGGCAGGGCCCAGGCTGTTAGCTATACTTACCTGTAGGAAGGTAAATAGAATCAGAGAGGTTGGAAGGTGAGAAGCAGGAGAGCTAGCTGAACAAGAGCATTTCCCTGTCAGTACTGGAGGTTGAATGCAGGGCTTGGTAGATGCTGGGCAAGCACTCATTGCTAAGCTGTGTCCAAGCCCACTTTTTTCAACTTTTATTTTGAGGCAGGGTCTTAATATGTTACCCAGGCCTTAATCTGACTCTGTAGTTCAGGCAAGCTTTGAGGTTGTGATCCTAATGTCTCAGCCTCCCAAGTAGCTGAGATGAAGGGCTTGTATCACTAGGTCCAACTAGGCATTTGATTGTTTTTATCCTTATTCTTTGTATTATGGGTACTTTTGAAGATTTTTTTGCCTGCTTTTGTTTGTTTGTTTGTTTTTTCGAGACAGGGTTTCTCTGTGTAGTTTTGGTGCCTGCCCTGGATCTAGCTCTGTAGACCAGGCTGGCCTCAAACTCACAGAGATCTGCCTGGTTCTGCCTCCCCAGTGCTGGTATTAAAGGCGTTCACTACCACTGCCCGGCTGCCTACTTTTATTTTATACACACACACACACACACACACACACAGCATTCACACACACTGATGCTTTTCTGTCGGCTTAGTGGCTGCACATATATCTACTGATATTTTAATTATTGTCTGCCACCTCATGGCCCCTATGTTAGTGCCCCAACAGGCACTCAGACTGCAGCCTGGTGGGGCTTTCTGTCCCACAGCCCTGGCTCTGCCAGGATCACAATATATAGATTTAAATTAAGTCTCTATCGTTCTATTTATCAATAAGATTCAGAAGTCAAAGGCTGGGGTGAAAACCTGCTAGCTCAGAGAGCCTGAATAGCAACTAGCTGACCTTGCTTTTTGGCCAGAGACACGAACTGCAAGAGACACTTCTCTTCCCTCATCCCAAAACCAAGAGAGCTCTATTCAAATTGCTGGCTTCTCTATGGCCAATTCTGGTCAGCTAGCCACTGGCTCCACCCCCTGATTCAAGATATAACTTTATTGGACAGTCTCAGGAGTGTCAGAATGTGAACAAAATATCCCACAACAACACACAATGAAGAAAGGGATACAGCTCAGTAGTAGAGTATTTGCACAACATACTAAGTTCTATCTCCAGACAATAAGTAGATAAAAACTTAAAATACATGTATTACATTTACAATAACACTATTTTATAAAATTTTGTGTCTCTATCTACAGATCTAATGTCAGGCAGATAAAAGAAGGGTGATAACTGAACAGATTGCTCTAAGAGAAACCCACACAGTGAACACATTCCCAAGTTGTTGTACCACTAAACATGCCAATCGGGTAATCAGGCTGGATCCTGTCAACCTTGATCTACGGAATAGTGAGACTTCATCTGGAGAGGCTGCAGTTGCTGTGAATACAAGAGCCAAAGTTTTCCAGGCTGCTTTAGGAACTATATCTGTTCTGGATCCTGCTGCCAACCTTCACAGTCACTTCCAGAAGGTTCTGAAAGAACCATTCAGCATCGTGTATGTCATTTCCCATAGTATTTGTGCTGGTTAGCTTTTTGTCAGCTTGACACATGCAAGAGTCATCTTGGAAGAGAGAGCCTCAGCTGAGAATTGCTGCAATCAGATAGGGCTGTGGGCAAGTGTATGGGTATTTTCTTGATTTATGACGGATGTGGGAGGGGCCAGACTACTTTAGTCCTGGGCTATGTAAAAAACAAACTGAGCAAACAATATGGAGCAAGCCAGTAAGCAATGTTCCCCCACAGCTTCTGCGTCAGGTCCTGACTTCAGGTCCCTGCCTTGAGTTCCTCTCCTGACGGACTTCCCTCAGTGACCAACTGGGACTGGAAAACGTAAGCCAAATAAATCCTTTCTTCCTAAATTGTTATTGGTCATAGTATTTATCGCAGGAATATAAAACAAGCTAGGATAATACTGTCAGACCGAGACAGACATACCAAGATTGATGACTGTTACGGCATGGTCAACTCCTCTCAGAACACAAAGTCAATACCTGTTTCTTAGCTATATGTTCATGTTATTCGCAACACTTTAAATTCAGTAGACCACAATGAGACCAATTACATTGTTTGATAACTTCAAACATCAACAGAAAAATCAACTGAAATTAAAAGTACAGGAAACTGTTTGTCGCCTGTCCTCTATTGCTGACAGTACAGCAGTGAAGTAGACTTACTTCATTGGAAATCCCGATTTTGTTCTTGAGTATTGACCTCATTTTTTCTAGAAAGGAGTTTAAACTCAGCCAGTTCTTAACATCATGTATAATTATTGGCTGAGAACCTAGAGTTCTTGCAATGCCTGCATTGAAGGAGTTTTGGAATGAGGTCTGCTTTAAGCCGTAGTAATGTTTTGGTTTCTTTGCTTTGAAATTAGGAACTATGCTTGAGTCTTCAGCTTGGAGTTCATACTGTCAGTCTTTTCCATGGCTTTTAATGAATAATTAACTCCTCTCAGAGACATCTGCACTCTAGTGGATCATTTAAAAAGCAAAAACAAAAACCTTTGGGCATTTTCAAATCTTTCCAGTATAGCTGACCCAGTGTTGGTGGCCATCTTTAACTTTCTTTTTCTTCATTATTTTCTGCCTTCCCATGAACACACCTTGTGATCACAGAGCTGCCAAGAGATAGCTCTGCTTTTGTTTGTTACCATCATGTCGGTGGAGAAGGCCACAGACACCGTATTGAACGTCTGAGTAGCAGAACAAACCGCTCACAAAATGAGCCCTGACTGACGGGTGAAATGGGTGGATTCCTGGTGTTGGGAAGAAACTGTTATTCTAAAGCCTCCCGAAAGCAACATCTTGTATGCACACAAGCTGGGCCCAGGTGGAAAGGGAAGATTGGCAAATCTCTGCCCTTTTCTGTTCTGGTTTGCCCAGGCTCTGCCAGTGGTAGAGAACATTCTCTTGAAAGGCTGATTCAGAAATGTTGCTATTTGCAAGCCTTGCAGTCCGTCTGAAACAGTAGCACTATATAAAAAGGCTCCTTAACTTTTGTAACAGTTGCAGCCTTGCAAAAATAAGAATCTGATCTGATGGCAAGGCCAAGAGCAAGTGACTGAGCTGTGTGGACTTGGGCTTTTGGTGGTCCCCACTTTTCTCTCTTTATTCCATTTTATTTCTTTATGATTGTCAAATTGTTTACAAGAAGACTAGAGCAGGTTGGACAGCTTGGGGGATAACCCTAATTAGCACGGGACACACCTAATTAACAGGACACACAGGGGCAACACAGGCAGGTCTTGCCAGGCCAGCTGGATCTTGAAACACACTAGGGCTCCTTCATTAAAACATTTCAGCGAATATCAATATTGATTTTCCCTTCCTGCTGCAAATAAAAGTTCCTTCTGAATTCCAATCACAAGTGCTTGTTGGCTTAGCAAGCTCCGCTCCCTTGTGTAAGGTAATTTTCTGTGCTGTCAAGCAGTTAAGAATTTTCTCAGCGTACTTAATCACTAGTGAATTGATAGTGACAAATTAGATTATTGCTCTTTGCTGTTCCAAGTCCTTCTGCCATTTTGGATTCATGTGTAGAGTGTCAGATGGTCCCCCGAACCATTCCGAAGTGAGCTAAGAACTGAGACCACTGGTCTGGTGTGGAACAGGGTGCAGGATGCAGTTTCTTAACTAAGAGTGGGGTGAAAGGTTTAAAGGTAGAGTAGCAAAGACACTAAAACAAAAACAAAAACGGTGGTGCTGAGTGTGGAAGGAACCCTGAGCCTCACATATTGCAGCAGGTGAGTTACCACTGAGCTATATCCCCAGCCCTGAAGAGATTGTTCCTATGAAGGAAGACTGTCTTTCACCTGGTTGTAAAATGACAGAGTCAGGAAGAAACTTAGAATATATTTTTTTTCTTGAATTTTATCAATCCTATAAACATAATCTCCTTTATTGAGTTGTTTTGCATCCAATTTCACTAACCTGTTATAACAAAAGCAAACTCAAAGACTTCAAATCCAACAGAATACTGAGGAGTTCTTCTACAAGTCAACTGGAGAGCCTGTGGCTGTAACTGCCTTGGCAGGAAGGAAGACATCTAAGGAGGGGAACTGTGACCTCTCATGCTACTGGGCTGTTGGAACAGTGCTCCCAACCGAACTGGAGTTTCTCCTGAACTCCCATGCTAGGAGAGGAAAGTCTGGAGCCTGCCAGGAAGAGCTGTCACATGGTCTGACAGCTGGTCAGTCCACCTTCCAGGGAAGACGTGGAGTGGAGACAGCGATGGGTGGGACCACTCCTTGAACAGGGCTGCTTGAATATCAGACAACATACCTCTTGCCTGATATGTAACTTAAACTTCATGTCAGGACCCCAAAGATAGACAGACTTAGGGTGTATCAGTCCTTTCTGTAATAAAATGCCCTTTTGTCCCTCACAAAAAAAGGACAAAAGGTTTATTTTGTTTCATGATCAGAAGGTACGTCCATCATGGTGGGAAGGCATGGTGGCAGGAGATGGAGGTCACATTGCATCCACAGTCAGGAAGCAGAGAGCAATGGATGCTGATGCTCAGCTCCCATCACATTGCATCCACAGTCAGGAAACAGAGAGCAGTGGATGCTGATGCTCGGCTTCCTCTTCCTTTTCATCTGTGGCAGTCAGAATGGTCTTCCCACCTCAGTTATCCTAGTCTGGATAAATTTCACAGACTTACCAAGGAAGGCTAATCTAATTTCAGTAACATCTTACAAGCCCAGGGGCAGATCTAGGCAATCCTAGAGTCTATCAAACCGACAATCAGTCTGCACCACCCGAGTCACTGGCCACACTAAACCGATCTCCTTCCTCTACTTTTCACCATTACCTGTGTCTTTATGTATTGACAAGAGTGGCTAAATCCAGCTTGTTAGCATTGTAGGAATCTCAGGAGTCCAGGCTCTAGCTGGAACAATGCCTGAAACAAAGTAACAAAAGAAGGTCTATGGAGCTGGGCGTGGCAGTTCCCACTTCGAATTCTGATCCAGGGAGGCAAAGGCAGGAGGATCAGGAGCCCCAGGCCCGCCTGGGCTACCTGGGCCACATAGTAAGATCCTGTCTCAAAAAGGAGAAAAGAAGAAAAAATAGGATGTGTGTGTGTGTGTGTGTGTGTGTCTGTGTGTGTCTGTGGGTGTGTGTGAGAGAGAGAGAGAGGGAGAGAGAGAGAGAGAGGTGGGGGGGGAGAAAGAGGGAGAGATTTTGGAACACCTACAAAGAAATTTACTTTTCTTATGTAGAAAATGCTTACAAATGTTACCTCCTGTCTCAAACCACCCTTAACTTCTAGTTGATGAGATCCTCTGTATACTGTACTATCCTTGATCCATTCCTTTACTCCTGTATTAAAGAATTTAAAGTTTTCAATTACACGCTTTCTTCTGTTGCATCAGAATGCCCGAGAGAAGAAAACTATCATCCATTCAATAACACAATTCAATACACATGTGCTGAGTGCTTCTCCAGGCTACTCCCAGAGCGGAGTGCTTCCTACATCGGTCCTCACCTTCCAGTCCAGGCCTTGGAAACATGCGGCGTTATTACTGAGCAGGCATTCAGTAGCTGGTTGCCAAGTAATCAAATAGCCGAGTGAGTGCAAAGCTCAATGGATGAATAGGCTCTATTGTGTGTGGTGGAAAAGGCACCGTTCTGCAGGGCAGTTTCAGTTCCCTGATTTACAAACACAACAGTCAGCACCGAAAAGTCAAGCTAGGAAGAAGTGAGGAGCTGGCATTCTGCAGGGCAACACAGCCACGCAGTTTCTAGAAAGCCAGTGGGGAGCAGAGGAGCTGGCGGTGCGGCATCTTTAAAGGAACACTGGGGGATGACAGCCTGGCCCGGTTCCTTCTAGGTGTGTTTCTGAGCTCTGTTCCAGTCTGAGAAGTCAGAAGACAGATGGCTGAGTCAGGGTGACTCCCAGGGCTCTGTCGCTAAGAGCCTGTGGGTGTGGTGTTGGGGACAGCGCCTCCCCTGACTGCAGAATGCTTGCTGAGGAAGACAGCCCACACACACTTGCCGATGTCTCTCCTGTGATGGTCTGTCCTACTGCGACGCTGTCCGGCTGCTGCAGATCACTTTTGATAGTGGGGAGCACTTTTCCCAGGGGCACCAGGGCCATCATCTGCCTGAACTTGATGTCAGCAGTTTGCTCCCAAGGGGGCCCCTGGGTTGCCTCAGACAGTTGTGTCTCGGAGTCTTCCATGTAGGACCTAATCTCATGCCACAGCTTCTGGTCTAGCTTCATTAGCAGCTGTTAAGACCCGAGGCTGGATTTGCCGCCAAGGACAGTGAACACCAAGACGCCTTCGGTCTTGACTGCGTTCCCTGCCCAGTCCCTTTCCCATTCTGCACAGCTATTCCCATCCCTTGCCTGCCTAACCACACCACCTCATTGTCAGCAGGCGACAAACCACACATTTAATTTTACAGAGAAAACAGACACCATTGGGCATATCCCCTTCTGTCCCCCCCCCCCGCGCCCCCATATCATGCCTGCCTTTACTGATGTCCTTACACGTCAGGAAAGAAGGTGTGTTCGCTATCTACTGCTGTATAACAAATTTGTTCCCAACTGAACAGCTTAAAAGACTACACATTTGGGGTGGGGGGTGGCTGGAGAGACGGCACAGTGGTTAAGAGTGCTTTCTGCTCTTCCAAAGGTCTGGAGTTCAATTCCCAACACCTGACTTGTGCATGTCATACCTGAAAGGACCAAGCAGATGCCATAACAGGCTGTTCAGTCTTGTCTCAGAGATCAGGCCTCAATTTCAATTTCCTGAGACTGAGCAAGCAGTCTCTGGGAGGGCTGTGAACAAAAGACATAGTCCTTGCAGTAGCTCCCTTTCTGCACATACTCTGACGGCTAAAAGTTCAGCCAGATGTTTACTGTCTGGGGCCCCTCACCAACTTAGAGTTATGTGCATGACGTGCTAGGCCAGCCAGCCCCCATGGTAGCTCAAGGACAAAGCCTGGGACTTGTGCTGGACAGCCCCCAAAATGATAATTGTAACCACCAACCAGTAAATTCAAAGGTTACATACCCTCACCCAATTAAAAGAGAACAGAGATAAAAAATAAACCAATCCGAGTTGCACCCATGCAAACCCCCCTAACCCCCTGAAGGGCTTGTGGTTTTTGCCTTTAAATAGCCAGCCACACAAAGAAAGAGGAACTCCTCCCTGCCTCACTGTATTGGGTGTAGGAATGAGTCCCCTGTCTAGACTTGTATCTGCAGAATAAACCTTGCTGTTGCATTCTGGACATGCAAGGTCTTCGGTGGTCTCTTTGGGGGGGGGTCACAATCTGGGCATAACAATACCCACCTGTAACTTACAGCTCCAGAGGATCCAGTGCCATCTTCTGGCTTACATGGGTACACACCAACACACACATACAAATAATAATAATAATAATAATAATAATAATAATAATAATAATAATAAATCTTTTACAAAGATCATTAATGACCTCATAACTCCACAGAAATGGCAATTTGGAAGTCATTTACCGGGCAACTCTGGCTCAGCGCCTTTCATAGGATAACAGACAAGGTGTCTTTGGGCCACTATCATTTGGAGGTTCTTTTCCAAGGTGGCGGGCACACTCACAGGGCTGCTGGTAAGAGGCCCTCATTACCTGGGCCTCTCCACAGAGTTGCTTGGATGTTCTCTTGTGTGTGTGTGTGTGTGTGTGTGTGTGTGTGTGTGTACTTTGCTGAGCCTAGTGAGCTAAGAGAATAGCATGGATAAGCTGCAATGTCTTTTGTAGCTCACTCTGAAGTTGTGTATGGAAACGTCCTCCAAATTCTATTAAATAAAGGGAGTGACTAAATGCCACCTGCCCTTAGAAGGAAAGGAATTAGAGTCTATCTCTGAAATAAAAGTGCAACAAAGAATTTGTGAACATTTTAGATCTACCTCAGAGTGACTGCCTTTCCTTTTCAGGGCTAGCCTGAATCCATCCTTCCCTCTTGGACTTGGCTCATCAATGATGCTCTCTTATTTTCTCAATAGTGGGTCAGTTCATGAGCCATTCACCATGTCTTCCTACCATATATTTCATGGGGGTACTCTCAACTCTACAGCAACTCTGTATGGCGGGGCAAGGCAGATAGGGCTCAGAAACTGGAGATGTTCAGTGTCACATAAATAACAAAAGTTCCTTAAACTCAGTCCTAGCTGGGCATGTAGCACGCATCTGTCTTCCCAGCATTTGGGAGGCTACGGCAGGAGGACCATCAGTTCAAGAGCAGCCTGAGCCACATAGTGAGTCTGGGTTCAACCTGGGCTACACAGTGAGACTGTCTCAAACAACACAACACAACACAACACAACACAACACAACACAACACAAAAACCAGAAAAGCCCTAAGGAACAAACCCAGCCCTACTCAGTAGCCACGCCTCTGTAGTAATTTATCCTACACTGCCTCATACATACCTTCCACCTCTAACCTGCCCCCCCCCACCAGCTTCTCCCATTAGCTTCTCCGTCTGTTTCTTCTTCTCAGCCTCATCACAAGCTCCATCACACTTTCCACTCCCTACATTTCTTGCCAAGGTAGTCTACACATCATGCCTCCTTCTGCACCTCTTACTGTGGCAACTCACAGCCCTGAGTCCTGCGCGTACCTGCCTACCAAGACGGAGTAAGGCCCTTCTTTAAGGCTCCGTAACTTCCAGACTCCTATGTTCACTGCTTCCTTGTCAGACCACATTCTGCTGTGTTTCATCAATTCCAAGTTAGACTACATTTTTATGATTTCTGAAATGGGGGTGTTTTCAAGCCAACCAATGACACTTGAAATTTGATAAAATAACATTGCTTGTTCCTTGTTGCATTTTGTCACAGCTCAGTTACTTTCACAGAGCTTTCATGGAGCATGTCTCATGCCATGACATCCCTGTGCTGCATAGTCTTATGTTGTCTTGACATAGGCTAGAGTCATCAGAGAGGAGCAAGCCTCAATTGAGAAAATGCCTCCCATAAAATCCAGCTGTAAGGCATTTTCTTAATTAGTGATTGATGGGGGAGGGCCTAGGTGTAGTCGGAAGTTTTCCTATGTGCCCCCCAACCCATAGCCTCTTGGACCCAAGTAAGCTCACAGAGGCTTATATTACTTGCAAACTGCATGGCCTAACGGCTCAGGCTTCTCGATAGCCAGCTCTTACAACATAGCTCAGCCTGTTTCTATTAATCTATGCATTGCCACGCGGCTTCATGGCTTACTGGTACTCTCACATCTTGCTTCTCCTGGCAGTGGTTCACAGTGTCTGCCCCCAATCTCCTTTCTTCTTTCCTATCTCTCTTGGATTTTCTAGCCTGGCTCCATCCTGCCCTGCCTTAGGCCAATACAGCTTTATTTATTAGCCAATGGGAGTAACACATATCCACAGCATACAGAAAAGACATCCCACAGCACCCAGGCCATTGTAGATGGTGCCATCCCTGGGTTGGTAACCCTGGATTCTATAAAAAAGCAGGCTGAGCAAACTGTGTAGAGCAAGCCAGTAAGCAGCACTCCTCCATGGCCTCTGCATCAGCTCCTTCCCCCAGGTTCCTGCCCTGTGTGAGTTCCTGCCCTGACTTCCTTCAGTGATGGACAGTGATAAGTCAAATAAACCTTTTCCTCCCCAGCTTGCTTTTGGTCATGATGTTTATCACAATGTCAGTAACCTTAACTAAGACAATCCCTGAGGAAGGTTCTAGTAACTCTGCTTAGTCTCCTTTGGTGCTTCCTCTCTCAGCTGTCCTCAGATGGTAGTATGGACAGAATTGTGATGACCCCTTTTCCGTCTTGTGTGCCCCTGGGTCATGGACCTTCCACAGTCTTCCTCTCTGCTCCAGCCTTCATCTTTCCTTGCTTACCTGTATCACAATTCTGTGTGGCCCACATATTAATCCCCTTCTAATCAGTCTCCCCACATTGCCCCATCTTTCATGGCATCCCCTTTGGAAGGAGCGTTCCAGAGACGGTTTAGTTTAAAGCACAGCTGACACTAACATACGAAGGACATCCATCATATAGAGATTGCTGCTGGCTTAGTTACTGTCTCTTCCTGTGAAGAGACACCCTGACCAAAGCAACTTATAAAAGGAAGTATTTAATTGGCGGCTAGCTTACAGTTTCAGAGGGTGAGTCCACGATCATCATGACAGGGAGCATGGCAGCAGGCAGGCAGGCATGGCATTGGAGCAGTAGATGAGAGCTTACATCGTCCTGGCAATTTGAAGGCAGAGAGACAGCAAGACTGAGCCTGGGATGGACTTTTGAAAGTCAAAGCCCACCCCACCCCCTAGCTGACATACCTCCTCCAACAAGGCCACACCTCCTAATCCTTCCCCAAACTGTTCCATCAACTGAAGGCCAGGTGTTCAAATAGAAGAGCCTACAGGGGCCATTCTTATTCAAATCACCATAGTCACTAAATAAGCAAAACAGTTACAAGGTGCAAACCCCAATACAGGAGCAATAAGATGTTTGTTTGGGTCCTGGGGAGGTGGCTCAGTTGGGAAAGTGTTGGCCACACCAACCTGCAGACCTGAGCTCAGATTCCCTTTATCCTGAGGACAGCTGGGTTGCGGGAATGCACAACATTCCTGGCTCAGTGTTTTTGATGCAGTTATTATCCACTGGATACTGACGTGAAATAAAGCCCTAAGTAACATTTCAGCAGCAGGACATCAGACCGTGGAGGAGTTTTCACAGTCTGAGATGTCACAAATACAATTTTAAAAGACACCTGGACTCATTTGGCATTCAGCGTCCTAATTAGTCTAGACTCAGCTGGAGGAAGAGTCTAATGTCTCTTTTATCCCTGGCATTCCCAGAATTCTTTTGAGGCTTTTGTAACTTTCAGGACTAGTATGGTTGTGGGCTACAGTTCAATTAAGTAAGACAGACAAAGGTGACCAACCGTGGTGCTGAATGCCTTTAATAGCATCAGTCCGGAGGCAATCAGCTAGGTATCTGAGTTCAAAGGCAGCTTGGTCCACAGAGCAAAGTTCCAGGCCAGCCGGGGCGATTTAGTAAGATGCTGTCTTAGTAAATAAAGAAACAAAAACAAATGTATTAGAAGGTCATATCAGTCAAATCCATTAGCTGGAAAAATTGCAGCCACTTGAATTACTTGGGATGGATGAATTATGGAGTCCAAAGAGTTTTTAGGAAAGAAAATGGGCAAAAATGACCATGGCTGTTTGTTCATAATATAATGCTTTGACCCATACAAAAGAGAGTTTAGAAGGGATGAAGGAAGGTGGCAAATGATGAAATGTAAGCTCAAAGCAGGATTCTTAATCTGAAAGTCCTGGGTGGAAACCATTTATACCAAATGTCATCTACATTCATAAATGTCAACGGTTTTCTGATTCCAGAGCAGAGTGCATCTAACAGTTTTTTTTACTAAACTAGTCTTTAGTGGGACGGGATGCCCAGACTGTAGCATCCTTAGAAACTTTGCAATGGGCATCATGAACTCCTGAGTCACCCATGCTTTTATATGTAATCCTGTACCATGTTCCTGTAAGTAACCTCAATAAACATGGTTCTCTGATCTCTTGATACCTGCTGAGGTGAACAGATATGTGCCCAGTCTCCCCCAGAAAAATATCAAAGAAAGATGTTCAAAGATCATCCTTTTTCTGAGCTCTCATTCACAGACTTTCAAAAATTAATTCATATGCCTCTGTATGTACATATTTAAACACATATTAAATTAGATACCTCAATAGCATTCACCCTAGGTTTAAAAAC